AGCTTACTGTCACAGCGAAAATCGAATCAATATATGGTAACCAAAAGGGTTGACCTTCACAGCTTCAGTCTGTCGATAGATATAAGATCTCGAAAGTTTCTGTCTTTAATGTTGTGAAACATAACGCTTAGTATGTCAATGTATATGATTAACCCGTTTGTGCCCAATGATCGTTTAAATGATCATTACTTTGAAAATTTACGGTCACGCACAGCGGCGTCTATTCCCAACTGAATATTTGAGGCATTTTGTACCACGTCTGAGGTTCGATCTCTCAGTGTACCACCTCAAAATTGAATTTCTACAGAAAAAAAATATACCGTCTTACTTTTGTTTGAGGCATTGCGCCTCAAACGTCTCACAGGATAGACGCCCCTGAGTCACGCAACAATAGCTCCTATAAATGTTTTTGACCACCCTGTCGAAAGCATATCGCTGTCCTGTCCTATGATAATAATCTATCTTTTAGAAAATTACTAAAGAAATTTAGTAATTTGTCTTAGTCAATATTTTATTTTCATGTGAAATTTATTTTTAAAAAAAAGTAATCCTGGTGAATGTACTTGCGAATCGGCACTTGTTTACTTCTGAATTTCTTTGAGTACTCAGCCGATACTTTCGTAAAATGCCACTTGGTAACACACTAAAAATAAAGTGTCACATATGTCTTAAAACTCGATACTTTTAGGGATCCTTTGATCTGTGACACCAGGTTCGGTTGCTTAAATCGATGTGCTCGCTTTTAATAATGTATACAAAACATGGAGATTTTGCTTCAATTTACTACTACTGTAAAGTCCACAGGATCTCATCTTCCCGGCTTTCAACTCCTATGTATCTGGGTGAAACGGTATAAAAATACTAATGTACCTCACACAGGTACTCGCGGATTACTTAAGCAAGTGCTTGATGAAGTACTTGACAAGAGGGTAAAGTAATTTGAGTACTTGACTTTTCTAGTAAGTACTTGATTTACTTCCGAAAAGTTCCAAGAACGTGGAGAAAACTTGCGAGAGTACTTGGACAAGTACTTGTATGTAGGGATGTTCGGTTCTCGGTTCCATTTCTCGAGTTAGGACCGAAATGGAAAGAACCGCGATTCCGGTTCTTCACAAGAACCGAAGACCGAACATCCCTACTTGTATGCATCTACATTCACTAGGGAATGTTGAAGTAGAAAATATATATGCGTGCGTACAAATTACAGGATACTAGAAAATTTGAAATAAAAAGCAAAGACTAAATCGGACGAATGAAGGACTTTTACCTGTAGTAGCATAGCAGTGCTAGTAAAAGTGATTTTTCTTTTGGGAAACAAAACAATCTCTACATAAGCAGTAATTTTAGTAGAAAACAATCGTTAATTGACTGGATGAAGTGGTAATTAGTCTTGAACGGTTCTTGCTATGGCTAACGCTCCTTCCGCGTCAGAAATCGATCTCACAAACTGTTAGTCTGTTCTGGCTGATATTTTCTTTCAAGAGGTCTTAGTCTTACTGGAGTACAACTACAATAAAATTTTCCTTACTCCATCTGTTTGTGAGATGTCGCACATATATGGGACAAAATGAAGTATTTATGTGAAGCAGGTTATAATAGAGAGGCTGGATTGGTTTTAAATCTCCGATAATAGTCGTGATAATAACGTGATAGACCGAATCTTTAATATTTTTCTTAGTAAGATCTCTTAAAAATCTTTTCTACAAATATTCACATTCCGGAAAAAAGGTTCTAATAAAAAAGCCCTAAGATTTCAATTTAAAACCACCATCATTTGATATAACAGAGAAATCTGTTCAACGGTGTTATTCACTGAGTAAAAAAATTATTTCGAGAACTCAGAATACTTCTGTTTTGGAAAAAGCGATATTTTACAAAAACTTTGATTTGAATAGGGATAACTCACAAATCATTAGCAGAAACGACTCTTGATTAAAATGAACTCTAGTATCATCAACGACAGTAACTTATTCCTACAAAAACGTTTGTAAACAACAAACGTCGATAGAAATATGTGACATTGAATAATATCAACAAAGTAAAAGTAACCAGAGATATATCAAGACTTGAACCCGAGCTTACTACATTTTTATGGTCAATATTCTTATTATATTAAATTTTTTTCAGAGTTTAAGGAATGAAATGTGATACCACCGTTGTTGAAAGACTCAAACTAAGTGGATACATCAACTTTAAAATGAATTATTGCACTCACATACATTTATTTCTTGTTAGCACATCAACTGCTTTCTGTTTATTATAAAAACATTTTTCGAGTATAAAAGTGTGAGAGGATGTAATGGGAAAATCTAAATCTTATGTATGGGTGGGTGTGTTATTTATTTTATCAAAAGCCTTGACAGATTTATAAAACACACTTCAGTTTATTGCTAAAAGAGAAAAAAAAAGTGCTTTAACAAACAGTAGAATATGAGTGTAAATTGCATTTATTCTCATATTCATGATTATAGTGAAGAAAGAAACGAGTTTCTCAAATGAAAAAATATCATGTTTACATAACTTGGAACTAAAATTGAAACTAAAAACCTATGTGTGGTTTTCCGCCCATTATGCACCATACCATGTGCTAAAAATTTGAATGCAAAAATATGTTTTTTTTATTCAACTATTTTTAGCTAACATAATCCCCGTTCTCTTTCTGTTTCCGCTTGGTTAAACCTCATTTTCTTCAACGCTCACATAAATTTGTATTCATAACAATCATTTCTTTAATCATTACAATAACTAGCCTATCTACTTAATATTCTATTTGACATTAGGTGATCATAGTCAAAGTTATTTAAAAATAAAAAACGACTCTGTACAACAATTTGTGCACTCTATAGTGATTAAAAATCCTTGACATCCACGTACAACATGACTAAAGTAAGTGATAGAAATTCTGTTTTTCTTCTGTGTATAGAAGCAATATCAAAAGCAATTGTCTATTTTCATGATAGTACACTTGTTTTTCTGCTTCTTTTTGGACGAGTAAAAAAAACTCGCTCAATCGCTAAGAATTATATTAATTAAATAGAGAACGTGAATCAGAGTACTTTTCTTTTTTTTTGTTTCTGTTGGTTTGTTACTGACATGTTATCTGTGTAGACTATTGTTCTTTAAACAAAAGAAATTATTTTTGAATTCTTATTCTCAGAATTGCATCAAATAATATTCGAAAATTTATCAAGTATATAGAGGGACAATAAGAACAGATATAAACGAAAGACAATTATTTTGTTGTTGTTATTGCTGTTGCAGCTGGTCCATCTAGTTCTTAATAGCTCCTTTATTTCTGCTTCTCTTTTTTCTTGTTCCTAAGACGTACATAAATAAGTTTATTATTACAAAAAACAAATCAGTGTCATGTAAAAGAAGAAAAAAGAAAAATGTTGCATTTTTTTTTTCTTTGTTATTCTTTGCCAAATTATGCGCTTATAACGGGTTGCGCAGAGAAAATGACGCCACTTTACAACTCATCCTTTGACTAGTCATATCGACTTTCAGAGTTTCATTCTGAACTTAAAAGACGCAAAATTTTCTCTAGTTTCTAGTACTATGTTTAGATTAAGATGTACCTTAATCGTCTTTTCACTATACTCAAAATATCGGAAGTCTCGAAAATCTCAACTGCACACCACTTCACTGAAATAAAAATGATTTATATCTTCATAGAAGTTTTGCTCGCGCGATTCAAATACGATACTAAAAACTACAATAAATTTTTAATTGCTAGGACACAAAACCATATTTTTGGACAAAGTTTTAGAGTCGTAAAAAGAGGCTACAACAATTGGGTCGTTATTTGTCTTTTGCGTCATTCCCTCCAAGGAAGGATATCTCAACTCTGTCATTCCTTACCAAAACGATGCAATCCATAGCAAGGAGTGCATTTTGTAGAGCTTGAAATTTTGTATCTTTTAATATAAAAAGAATAATCTTTATAGAAGAAGTCTCTAAAATACAGTACTATCTCGTTGGTCAAAGATGTCTTTTTAGTAACAAATAAGCGTATAAGAAACAACACACAGCTGGATACTCCGAAAAATTCTGCGTCTTTTAGGCCTTGACCCAAATTTCTGCAAAATACTTAAGGGGAATAAATTACATTTCGAATTTTTCTGATTTTGCAGTTGAGATTTTTGTGGCTTCGAGTATTTTTACTGTTGTAAAAGAACGGGACATGCTTATTTTAAACAACATATGAATAAAAGCTAAACACAATTCTCTACCTTTCTGACATAAAATGAATTTTTCTATTCAAGCTTAACTTGAGAAAATTTTTTTGCAAAGTAGCGCCATTTTCGCTGTCAACCCGTTACACATCCTATTCAAAACATGTGATTTGTTGACATAAATAAAACATAACAGATGTACAGAATGCATAGAAGGAAGAGAGATACAGCTTTTTTTGTATACTTAAATTTCTTTACTACTCTCTAGCGGATGTTCATCTATATATCTCCAAGTTTTTTTCTTCGCTATAAACCATGACGCATTTTTCATTCACATTTTGACTTTCATTCATCATCGTTAATAAATAGATATAGGTAGACATGCGCACGTAAAATTGAACACAAAAAATTTTGGCTTCTTTAAGAAGCCAAAAGCCAAAATCAACCATTAATAATGGTTGATTTCTTTCTCTCTCTCTCTCTCTCTCTCTCTTTCCTCATGCTTTCGATAGAAAAACGAAAAGAGGAAAAATAAGAAAAGGCAAACTGTATACAACATATCTTGTACATGTTTTTGTTAAACAACAACATGTCGAAAGAAGAAAGAACATGAGATTTTATTAACCTAATGCGTCATCAATTTTCTGTCGTGTAAGGATTTTCACGACTTTCTCCCTGACTTTTATAGATTTCTATAGAATATATATTAAAACATTTATTGAGAACTTAACAGGCCATTCAGTTATTATTATTATTGACTTGACGAACTTTTTATTGCAACATCAACAGCAGTAATAGTAAACAAGTCAAAATAATATATTTGAAATGACAATGGCCTTTTCATTTCTCGAAGCCATTCACGAACACGATCATGAACACGATGATCATCACCATAACGATCATAACCATCATGATTTGTCTAAAATGGTGGAAAAACAGAATGAGGATAAAGCTTTTTTGACTAACGAATTGGTAAGTCAAAATGGAACGTGTGATGATCACCTTCTTTATAGAAAAAAAGTTTTTCATCAGGTTTAGTAGTTTAGATTGTTGCCGTAATAGAAACTCCTATTCTTTCAATATCGTTTCTTCGTTTTATGTGGATAAATATCCTAGTTTTATCTTTCGATCTGTAAAATACTTATGTTTTCAGGTCTTAATGCAACAAGTATTCCTCCCTTCCTATTTATATATTTGAGCCTATACTAGTTAGATTAGTTTAGCGACTTTTTCATCTGTATGAAAAACTACAATGAAACTCGTTTAGAATGAAGGTGGGAGTGGTTCAGGCCCAGGACGTGGGACTGATAGCGGCAGTGGTCTTCTGGATGGAGAACGTAACGACAGCCATCTAGGTGGTAAATTATCAATCATAAATGGTCCAACGCGGTCGCCAAAGCCACCGAAACATTCGCGTTTACCCGTCTTACTATCTCGAAATAGTAGCAAAGGCAATTCTGATGGCGGTGAAAACGTTGGAAGTGCATCAGCTGCAAGTAAAATTGGCGGTCAAGGAACAGTTGTTGCGACACTTTCTAATCATGCAGCTACGAAACCAGCTAATTCCATGATTAATACCCCTGTACCAGTTATTATTTTACCAAAAAATGATACAACGAACTCAAGTCGAACATCATCAGCAAAACAATTTCTAATGAAACGTGTACGATCGCATTCAAGATCTGACCCACCACCTGTGCCGGATAAATCATTATTTTCACGTTTATTTATGAGAAAAAGTCGTCGAGGAGATGAACGACATAGAATATCAAATCCTGCTAATGTACATATTCAAAAAGATAATGAATATGATGAAGCATTGACACTATCTGATACAAATGTTTCAATGCGTTCGCTAGTAAACACAGGTAAAACAGCGAGTAGTGATCAATTAACCGATATTCAAAATGAAGATAAATTAGCACCGGTATCTCATCCACAATATTATACGAGTATGGCAGCAGGTGATACAGGCTCATGGGTCACATATCATAAACATATACAAACATTAGAACTACCACATAATAAATCAGATAAATTGCAAACACCGTCGAGTTTAAGAGTAAGTATAATTCATTATGATGGGGTAAAAAAACACCTTTTTGCCATGGTTATGCGTGTACACATGTTAGTATTTAACAGTACTCTTATTCTGGTAAATTTTGTCCCAGTGCTTCATTATTTGCACTTCTACGTGTGATGCAGCTTTTGCGATTTTCTTATTTCGTCTGCATATTATTTCTAGTTATTACGCTTTGCACGTGAAGCTCTCTGTTGGAGGTGGAGGAAATATAACAGTTTAAAAAAGTAAATGTCTGTTTTGTAAAACAGATGTTTATAAACTGAGAAATTGCATTAGAGTTATAAAGATGGAACATCAATAAAAACGGAGCAACTATGATATGTGAAGGTTTTTTGTACACGGTCTTGTGAATTAAAATACAGTAACTGCAGAAAACACTGTAGAAGAAGCGAGTTTATAAAACGGTACTACGAAGTTAGATAAACGCATACGAATTGAAAGACAGTGCCTCCACAATCGGTTACAATAACATATACAGTGTCATCAAACAGTATATCACCCTCCTTTTCAATTTACTGGCAATTGGCCAGTTTTATTCAACAGATATATAAAGTCCATTCATTTATTCATTCATTCATCTATGAGTATGTGAAAAAGAAAAAAAGTTGTACGCATATTTATTGCCAAAGAAATAAATGTTTGCTATGTCACGTTGAACATAGATCGTGGCCATTCTTTCATGTAAAAAACAGATCAATGTGTATGTGTGTGGGTGTGTGTGACTTGAGAGAATAAGAGACAACACAAAAAACATAAAGTATTGTTCATTTGTTAAAATACGCAAGAGATATCAGTTTTATGATTTCTCAATTTCAATTAATTTCTCTTTCCTTAAAGACTTATAGAGCACCGATTACATCAGTGTTCTTATTTCAAAAGTATTGTGACACACAAATTCTTTCCTGTGTGTAATCGTGATTCTATGTATGAGTATTTTTGATGAGGCAAAAGATTTTTTACATTCTAACATGATTCGACGTACATCAATTTTGATAGTTTAAGTTTTAGAATATTGTGATGAATTTATTTCTGTTTGTATTCTGGAAAAATCAAGCTTAGCAAATTTAAAGATATCTTATTCTTCATTTCTTATGTACTATTAAAATGTAAGATTGTTGTTGTTTCAAAAATATACATAACAATTTGTTAAGTAAAAATGGAACGAATCATACGTGAGCGTTGTTTTCATCAATTTTCTGTAAGTTAAAGTCAATAATAGATCTAATTTTGCTTCTTCTTGTATGTAAAGCGTAATCAGTTATAACGATCTCTAAGCTGCTGTGCGTTCAGAGACACATCATTTTTTCTTTAGGTATAGATAAATGATGCGTGAGCATAACTACCTAAGTCAATTTTCTTGACTCATTCTTAGTGTGACCATGACTCGTACCATAAATGGGGCAAGAAATTGGATTAGATATGCTCTTGATATGACATATAATATAGTGAAAATGATTGTTGTAAGACGGATGCGCTTTGAAATAAACAATCTCTATTTGTTTTGTTCACAGTTCTGACATTACACAGTTTGAACTCCGTTCCATAGCCTTTTTACCATATCACCGTGAAGAAACAAAATAAAGTTCATTTCGAGTTGTCGAAAAGTGCTTTTTTGTATTCAGCATACTCGATAATCCCATAGATTTTTCTAGTTTTTGCAAGCGGTACTGTCAAATGTTTGGGAAAGTTTTACGAACTGCGCAAAAAAAATGGCGCAAAAAAAATTCCATGAGAAAATAATATAAATTTCAAAATTTTCCTTAAACTTTTGACGGTATCTCTCGTCAAAAATAGAAAATCTACTGGATTATCGAGTGTGCTGAATACGAAAAAGCACTTTTCCACGATCCTAAATGAACTTTATTTTTCTGTCGGTGATATGTATTATCTTGTTATATCCATATATAATACGAAATACCTTATGAGCTTCAAACAATTTTTTGAATAATCAAAGTCTTCAAGTAAGTAACCGCTTATAAAATGAAGCGTGATTGTAATAAAATTTCATAAATATGAATTATCCACTTGCAACAACGCTGCTGCAATGCTTACCTTTTACTTATGCATGTCGCGTGATATCAAGCTGCTTTTTAATTAGCAAGAGTAGATATGCACTAATTTTTAAGATAAATATTTATACAACGTATATTTTTCTTCTGTCACTTTAGACACTATTTCAAGATTCCAGTCATTCAAAGCGAACTGGTAAGAAACTAGAACGAGATAATAATTAAGTAAATTTAAACTTAAGAAAGAATATTTTGAGTATCTAAAAGATATTATTTAATTTCTCTTTTACAGGTGGTACACAAAGTCCAAATCCAACAGGTAAAACGTTTAAACGTTTTACAACATTACCAACACAAGGCACAACTACATTAAAAGATCGTCTTTCATCAGCATATACCATTCGAAGTCCAGCAGTGGTTTGTATTTGTTTTGTTTTTTATTAGTTTAGTGCAAAAGCAGCGGCATTTCTTAACATTGCAGAATATATACACCTCGTTATTGTCAATAGCTATATAGTTTAAAAACGATATATATAATTGAACAATCATCCCAAAAAACACTATTGTTTAGTCGAAATCACCGACAGCAGAGCTCGACGCCGAAGAAGACATATTTGGTACGTATTATCTTAGTTTATTGTTAACGGTTGTAATATTTTTCTTTCAAATATATATTTTGTTGCTCATATATGAATGTATAAACATACTTTATAGTGAATGATGAGGAAGTGTATGTTCATTTTATGAAAACTCATACATGTTATGATATTATGCCAAAAAGTTCCAAATTAGTTGTATTTGATACTCAACTAGCCGTAAGTAGCATAAGGTAACAATTAAATTAGGATAAATGTATATGTATATTTGTCTATTTTCAAAGGTAAAAAAAGCATTTTTTGCTCTTGTTTATAATGGTGTGAGAGCAGCACCATTATGGGATTCAAAACGGCAAGCATTCACGGGAATGTTAACAATAACCGATTTTATTCTAATATTACAAAAATATTATAAAGAACCAAATGTAAGAGTTTTATTATATTATTACATTGGTGACTATAGTCACTAATAACATCACTACTAACAGAAACTTTTAGAAACAAGATCTTGATAGATCAATCCCTGTCTCAGTGTTGATTTGAGTATGCTACTGATAGTTTATGATTTGTTAATCAGAAATATTACTGTTCTACTGTATTACTTGAGTCTGCACTTCAGTCTGGTGATTCATAAAAATTCGTATTCATCCTGTGGTACTACTAATTTCATTTAATTACGCTTAATGTGTCGATGACTCATTTCACCAAAAGAGTGTTAAATATACAGATAAAACATGTTATTTACACAAAATCTCATTAACTGGACACGTCAGACAAATTTTCTTTTGCAGAAAGGGACCATCTACATACAATAACAAACATAAAATGTGAGGGAACCATTGATCTTAATCAGATCAACTGTTATTAGAGAAGTGCCCGTTATAAACTTTATTTAAATTTAATTTGGAGCTATTTTTTAAATATCGGTATACTAAAAGCTTAACCTTGGCTCGTACTATAGCTGCGAGACAGGGTAAAAAACCTTTTGTCCACCTATGGAACGAAGCGCTACTACTAGTCAACACCTGTAAAAAAAAACGCCTCGTGCACCAATTGTATTCCAGTAATCTTATTCAATAGTTTTAATGCTTTCTGCGAGTAGTTTAGTGTCTCAGTTTTTTTTGGCACTGTGTTCGATCGTTTACCTAATAACTATTATTTATTAAATAATTGTATAGGCAAAAATTGAAGAATTAGAAGAACATAAAATTGATACTTGGCGTGAAGTATTAAAGGAATATGAAAAACCTCTATTATGTATAAAACCAACTGATACGTGAGTAGTTTTTCTCAAAATTTTTAACTAATTATATGAAAATTTATGATGTATTTCAGTTTATATGATTGTATAAAAATTTTAATTAATAATCATGTTCATCGATTGCCAATCGTTGATCCAGTAACCAATAATGTTATATGCATTTTAACACACAAGCGTGTTTTAAGGTTTTTATATTTATATGTAAGTCATCCACACACACACACACATACAACCTCCACATGAAAATGGTTTATAAATATTGTTTAACTATTATTTAGATACATGACTGGCCACAACCATCATATATGTTAAAAACATTAGAAGAATTGAACGTTGGTACCTATCATACAATTCAAACGGTATCTATCAAAATCCAAAAGTCATATTCTTTTATCTATCGTTGTTGTTTCGTTTATTTTGAAATAGATAAATGAAGAAACATCTGTGATTGATGCATTAGGAACATTTGTCAAATATCGCGTATCAGCATTACCGGTCGTCGATAAAGATAACAAAATTATGAATATCTATTCAAAATTTGATGTTATCGTAAGTATTTAACAGTACTTTGACCATAACCAACCTGTTTTGGCTCGAAAATAAAGTGTCAAGTTAATATTCTTAATAATATCAGTCATTTGTATTAGTTTTATTCATTTTTATAGGGTTTAGCTGCTGAAAAAACTTATACAAATTTGAATATGACAATAAATGAAGCATTAAATTATCGTAAAGAGCGCGTAGAAGGTGTTGCCAAATGTTATAAGGAAGAAACATTAGCTGTTGTTTTAGAACGAATTGTTAGAGCTGAAGTTCATCGTTTAGTAGTCGTTGATAAAACTGAACATGTTATTGGTGTTCTGTCTTTATCAGATATTTTGAGCTATATTGTATTACGACCGTTACAAGAAAAAACAACACCAACCATAATTAGATAATTAATTGGACGTATAGTTTGCCTGTATATATATATATGTTAGTATCCCCGGTGACTCAATATCGTTCTCTTTTTGGATTGAGTCTGAAAACGTTGTTGTGTGTATAGAGCTTTCAAAAGCAAAAACCTCTAAAAATAGTATAAATTGCAAGGTGTGTAACAGATTATTTTTTTTTTTCTTGTACAGTTTGTAGATAAATATATTTATTATATGCGCGCTTGCGGCTTCGTTGGCTTTTCTACTCTCCTGTTCAAGTATGTGTGTGTGTGTGTGTGTATCAAATAATTGATAATTTTTTTTTGTTCAACAAAAAAATTAGAGCAAAGCTATATAAATTTTTTTCATTACTTTAATATTTTTTGTTTGTTGTGTCTTTTAAATTTGTAAAAACACATTTTCTTTTCTACTTTTAAGAATTAGTTTGGTTTTTTTCAACAAAAAAACAGACAAATTTACATCTAAGCAAGAAGAATATCAAAAATTATAGACGTTCGTTGACTACAATAATAAATGAAAATCAAGGGTTCTGGATGGGAATAGCTTGTCGTTTCCTAATACAAAACTCATTAGGTTTTGACGATGACACCCTTTTCAACAAGTTTTGATTGTGGCATTATCGGAATTATTGGAAAAACGCTAGATCTAATGGTCTTGGTGGAAAATGTCGATAAAAAAAAGAGGAAAATATCGAAGAGGAAAATGTAGAAGAGCAAAATGCCGAGAAGGAAAACACCGAAAGTGGATAATGGAAAGAAGGAAAATATCGAAAGAAAAACGTCGAAAAGGAGAAGATTCCTTTCTGTTTCTTGGAAATCACTGAAAGAGCTATACGTATTTTTATCATTAGAACTATTATTGGTTCTTGTCAGACTAGTACGCCTTCCCCAACCAACCTCGTAGCAATTATAGTCACTCATTGAAAAAGTAAAGTATGATGAGATTCAGTATGCCTGCTACAATGACCGCCTCACTCTCACCCCATCCACTTAACGTATCACTATGCAGCTTGGTGCAGGGGTACCGGCTCCAAAGCAATCAGGAAATGCAGCAGCTTGTCAACAATGATTTGGCATACTCAATGGATAATTTCTGAATCAATGCAAAACAGTTACTAGCTGGATTACCGTTGTTGACTCGGATAAACTAAAAATTAGATCACGATCTATTGGCCTTATCATTCTTCTTCTACTCTCTTTCCCCATGTGATTTAATAAAAGATCTCTTTCAGTGATTTCAAGGAACAGAAAGGAATCTTCTCCTTTTCGACATTTACCTTTTCGGCATTTTGCTCTTCTAGATCTTCCAGTTTGACGTTGTCCTCTTTTTTTATCGACATTTTCCTTTTGGATGTTTTTTCATTCGACGTTTTCCGTCAACCACGATCTAATGTCGAATTTGCACTTTAATAACCCTTTCCAGCCGGATGTTGCCATTTGGCAACATTGAGTCAGTATATTGTGAGGATTGACTCATTGTGGAAGTATATATCTTTTTTTAAAACTAAATAATTATCTTTATATACCGTGGTGCATATGCATATATTCGAGAACAAAAAATATTCCTTTTCTAGGCGAGTAATTAGATCCACACGGAGAGTCCTAGAAGTGTGTTCAAATCATAAAAACTCGTTTCTTCCCTGTCCGAAGATTTAATGTTGAGAGTAACTAGTGACTAATTTTAGCCACACAGTAGAACTGCTATATACAGCACTGCTAACATAACATGTTCAACAGTTCTCAACGGTAAAAAAACGTACTTGTTGCCATTCGCCAACATCCGGCCACAAAGGGACAAAAATTTTGTAAAATTCATTTTCTCTCTGCAGCTGCCAGGCGTGATTTCTTATAAAGTAATGTTACGATACATGTATTCGATACGTGATCATAAACCGTGTATTGTATGGGTGATTGACATAGGTCATTTTTATTATTTTAGATGTTTTATCATTGCAGTCCTTCTTTCACTTAAGTATTTTTTCCCGTCGATTTAGTTTTTTATTTTGTCTTTTGGATATTTCGTTTACAAGTATATTCATATTTCCTTTTATTAGTATTTGAGTGTTCCATCTTGCTCGCTTGCTCGTAATATAGATATCTTATTTTTGATAAAGAACAACCCTTTTGTATTATTAAGGTTGTTAATGATGACTTCTGGAGAAGTATTTAATAAACAATCGAATAGTGAAGAAGAAGTTGGTTATTTCACAAAATTTTACAAAATACAAAATTACAGTTTACGAGTTTTATAAAATTTTTGTCCCATTGTGACCGGATGTTGCAGCCCATTAGAACACTAAGCATTTCTATGGTTCGAAAAATAAACTTTTGTTATATCAGTGACCAAGGTATACCGAATATACTACAAACGAATTTTTTGTAACTCTGGTTTGGTACCCGGCTGGAAAGGGCTAATGATGTTTTTTTCTCAAGCGAGAGAGGAGCGCAAATATCAAGATTTATGTCCATGCGCATAAGATTCTTGATCATGCAAAACGCTTGAGGTATGCGCATGATGTGAGAATCATTTAGTGGTATGTCTATATTTCAAAAAAATCATGCGTATATCTTAAAAAATTCAAGCGTATGAAGTAAAATAAAGTGTTTTGAATGGGTAATAAAATCATACGCTGGAGTGAAAAAGCTTCGCTATAGGATGAGTATGAATGAAATCAGTAATCGTCGGTATTATTCCTCAATGTGTTAACAAAATCACAACTATTCGTATTTGATCTATTTTACGTTAATTAATTATTAATTTTTATTATCAATTATAAAACAAAATTCATCGAATAAAGCATTTCGTGAAGCAGCTTTTATGCAAAAAATAATGTTCCTAGTGTTCGCAATATTGATATTATAGTAATACTAGATGTTTTATTATTATTTTGTAGTTAAATGCTGACTCTTTCTTCTTATTTGATCGCAAATAAATCGAACATATTTCTGTCAATTTTTGAAACAAGAGGAAACGAAACAGAGTAAAACCTATTACAAAAAAAGAAACTTTTTTTTAACGATATCGAATTAAAGATCAGGATATAAAAATCGATAAAGTTCGTTTAACTCGATTCGCCCATCGCCTAAAAGAAATAAAATCTCGTATAAAGTATAAAATACTACAACTTATTTTCTTTTCTCTCTTACCATTGGCATCAATATGATTTAACGAATACGGAAAACTTTGTTCAGAATGATGGTTATCAGTGAATTTATTGATAATGGATAGTAATTCATTTGGTGATGATGGCGGTGATTGATTGGATATTACATCATTTTCGAGTGTACGTTTTCCAAATCTATATCAACAAGGAACGATCATATAGGATATTATTAGCTAATAACATCATACCTTGGTCGAGCAATGATAGCATAGTAATTGTGTAATAGTTTCCAAAATAGGTGCCATTCGTCTGGTGAAGCATTTTGACTTGGCATCGGAGGAGGGTTAGGATAACTGACGGTGTAAACAAATCGTACGGTCAAAATAATGGAAAGCAGAGTTAAAAGTGAAACAATCGAATTCATTCTAGAATGTAACATTAGACGGTAGCCTATTAGAGATGCAAGAAACGAGTGATGATTATTAGAAAGATTTCAACATTTTGATAAAATACGTAACATAAACTATCTGATTTTTTAGATAGACATAAAATTTTGGATGTATTTTCGTTCTAAAAACAGAAAGAAAATTTGTGAAACTCTATTTAAATGAAAAAAAACAACAGAATTAACTAGATATACATAAAGACGTAGTGGCAATTCATCTTATGGTATGAGACAAACTGCTCTAAAGAAAAAAACTGGGGTGTATGACATTAACTTTGACTTAAATGAGAATGAAGGAGATCTAACTTCTTCATTTAGAATTTTAAACGTAGAGAAATATTGTAATGGTGAGATTCTGCTTTAGTTTGCCAATAGCCATTGGAAACTCCAAAAGGAGCTTCATTTATATTAGACAACAGGGAGTTTTAAGACGGTAACATCGGATGATCCAGATAAAACGGGACACTTTTGTTCCTTTTTTTTCTTTTGAGGCACTGCCCAATGGTAAGTCTTCTAGAAAAATTTCTCTGTACAAAAAACTGATAAATCTAAAAAAAACCTAACTTTTGATCCTATTTTTCACAGACTTGTTTTTGGGTTATAAAAGCAGTAAAACGTTCTGAGTTTAAGATTTTAGTCATATTATCTTACACAGAATTAAATTCTGCATTTTTTGATATATAAACAAAGTTTCTCAATTGAAATGATTAATTAAAAAAATTAATTTTATCTGAAAAAATTGAAAAACCGCTTGAGGACGAATTATGAGTCAAACTAACGTAGCGGAAACATTGTATGAACTTGTAAATGAGTGAGATAGATAGAGCACAAAATTCTCTATCTTTCTACCTAGAAAAAATAACTATTGAACCTCGGACACTGGGCTAAAAATCTCAAAAAAGAAGACGACAAAAGCACATCACAGTTCGACAACTCAGTATCCGCTTCAATATTTTGAATGGTGCTCAAACGAGAAAAATGTTATCAGATATTCAAATAGCAGGTTTTGTAGTGAATTGAATTCTCTATCGATTGAACTTAGAACGAACTCTTTGAACTACTGGATGGTGCCTCAAAAACAACGAACAAAAAGTGTCTCATTTTATATAAGTGTTCTAGTATAAGTGTTCGATTTTCTGTCATGCACATTTCCTCTTAATCACAACTTCAATGAAAAGGTGGAGGACTAATTGTCTTAAACCTAGAGAGAGAATGGACATCGCTGTGGAGACACTGGTATAATGAAAGGACAACGGCTGTGTTACTATGTGAAAATCACTTATATTTTCTGACAACGAATGTCATACTTAATAATGTCTCATCCTACTCAGTATCTTACACAAAGCTTTATTAGTAGCAGCCATGAAAATACGTCTAAAACTTCTTTCTACTTATTTTACTGTGAATCTATCCTTTTCTGTCGCGTAAAAGTGTTATTTTTTCGTGCATTTTCATATTTTTTCGCTCAATTAGGCGTTTTCTGAAAGTTCGAACAGCAACAAGAAGAAATGTGTTTGGATTCAATCCTTCTTCGCGAATAAACATCAAGTAAACCAATTAACTCTACACAATTGGGATTAGCATTTAATTATGAATATAATAATTGTTAAAATGAATAAACAACTTCTACCTGTACAGGGTTGAACAAATTTAGAGTATTTGACGAATATTTAATAATTTTGGTAAAAAATCGTATTTTTTTTTCTCACTTCATCTTACAACATCACTTTAAAAACGAGAAACGTGTATATTAAAAAATTTTTTCTTAATACTTAAAAAATAAATCTTTGCATTATCAAAAAGAGAAAACATTACGTTCAAAATTTTCTCCTGTTTATATATGTATTTAAACATAGGAAAAATCTCATTAAGTCAAAAAACGATTTTAAGCATGGTTAATTGATTAATGGAAGGTTCTTCTTTATCTAACAACATGAGCGCGTAGGCACAAAGGTTGTTTTTAAAGATAGAGAAACAAGAAGAGAAAAAGCATATAATTGATGAATCTGTTTAAAGCAAATTTGAAATTACGTGACTATTTGTTACAATTTTATATTCATCAATTAGTAGAGAATCTCTCTTTTTGCAGATATAGAGAATAAAAAGCGGAAACTTTCCTTCAAAATGTACACAAAGATGAGAAATCAAATAATTTATTTTACTAGTTTTATTAATTAAATACATGACATGATTACAAAAAAGAATGAGAACCGTGTAACTTTAAACTTAAAACGGAACCGATATTCAAGCGCTCAAAGTATATAACCTTCGGTTCTCGTTGATCCTTTCTAATTTTCAATGAACTTTCATTGTGAGATTATCTTCTTCTTTCAAATTGAAAAATTTATGTCAAATATATTCTATTTCAAATACATTACAACTGTGCAATAGATAAAATTTTTTAAAAATGTTTAAACGATATTGTTCAATCAAGCAGACGAAAATTTTCCGATGACTCCAGTTGTAGTTAAAAAGGAGTTAACTGTAACTGCTAAACTGTAGAACTGTAAAACCGGTACAGTTAAAAACTCTTATAAGAGAACAATATAAAAGACAGCCTGTTCAGCTAACTGTAATTCCGTAACGTTTTTTTGGTGATTTTGTTTTATTTGCAGAAAGTTTTCAAAAAGTCAGAACTCAAAAGTGAATGATCCATTTTGTAGACAATTCAATTCTCTATCCACTGACCTGGTTTGAAAAGTTTGAAAAAATCGTTTGATTAGGGAATTCAAAACAATAAGAGCCGCTTTACTAAATTTATAAAAAAGATATGCAAGAAGTAGCTCTGAGTGTTTGAAATTTCTTAATCAAGAGATTTTCGCTAAAACTTTTCAAAGCCAGATCAGTCGATAGAAAATTGAATTGTCTACAAAATGGCTCATTCACTTTTGAGTTCTGACTTTTTGAAAAATTTCTGCAAATAAAACAAAATCATCAAAAAACGTTACGGAATTACATACGCAGGTAGAGTTAACTGGACAGACCGAAGTGTTACAGTTAAAAGTATCCCCTCTCTTTTTCACAAAATTTCCAGTTGTGAGTTGTACATAGCCAAATGGGGAGGAAAGCATGGACTACAAAAAGAGTTCATCTCCAGGTTTTCACGAACTTTTTTTGAAAAAGTGATGAATGTTTTAAGTTTTTTAAAGAGACTGAAAACGTCAGTTTTTTAGTTTCATAACTTTTTATTATCTCTCCTTTTCAGTGCATTCAGAACTTTTTCTTATACATTGTTCTATAAATTTAAAAAAATCAAAAGTTTGGAAAATAATATTTTAGAGTTTATAAACAAAAAAGAAGTTTTGAAAAACGATTAGTTACAGTTTTAAGGAGGAATGGAACTAAACCAGTGCATACAGATCAGGAGTAAAATGCTCATTTTTTGATAGTGATGGTAGTTGAATCAAAGCATGTTCGGTGACGAGTAAGATGATGTGATGATTGTAGATGACGAGTAGAGATGATGTGATGATTGGGCTGATTTTCTAGGATTGAAAATTACTCTCAATTGGCTTTTGACGTGAAAAAATCTGAAACGTAGCCAAAAGATAGAGCGAAGTCAGGGCTACAAAAAGGCTAATTCTGTTTTTCTTACTTCCAAAACGTTAACACAAGAAACAATTTTTGAGTTTTGAAAGTTTACATTTTTTCTCGACTTTCATCTAATTGGCTTAGTTTTCTTGATTGAAGTTCTGAAATTATAGTTTATGTATGATTTTGTAGAGTATTGAATGGCGAGTCTTTTAAAAAAAAATTTAGCCGATAGCGTCAAAACTGACTGAGTTATAGCAAAAACAAAGCAGTGTAATTCTTTATGGCCCACCCGTTATTATACAGATCTTTACTTATTTTTAATAAACAGAGTTTTTTTAGTGACTAAACCTTCGATAAACAGGACTAACCTTCGGAAAAGGATGTCTCGGCTGAGAATCGAACCCAGAACACCGCTTAACAAGGCCAATACTTTACTGCTAAGCTATCGAGGCCAAGTCTTGGCATGTTTCTTCTGAGTGAATAATCTTTGTTATCGAAATATATATTGTAGTAGTCGGAGACAAATTCCCCCATATACCTCTACAGAAGCAATTATAACGTAAACTTAGTTTCCTTTGATGAGCCGTAATATTATATAAAATCGATAGCTGTTTAGTTATATAGACTAGATTAAACGAGACAGAGCTAGATCTCATTTGGGTCTTGTCGTACTCTGTACTTTCTATGTATTTTGAGTAGTAATATTCTCAGAGCTCTACAACATCTTGATCTGTAGAATGAACTGTGCTAAGTTTCGGCACTCTGCACGTTCGTTAGGTTTCCAAACATATCAAGAATACTGGATGTATTATACGAAGGCGACAACCTTAAAGGAAAGTGTTAAACTTCTTAGAACAAAATACTTACTTTTTTTTACAATTATTACCGTATTATTGAATTAGACTTTCTGTTTTTATATATTTTCTGTAATATATCTTCAATCATAATCACTCATTATTTTTGTTAGATACTGGCACTCGATGCTATTTTATTTTAAAGCTCTAAATATGCTAGAACATGATTTGTGTAATACATAGTTAATGAAGACTTCAAATGAATAAAAAGAAGATTGAGGTGCATAACGAATAAGTGGGTTGAATGTCCAAATACTCATATTGTTACATCACTTTTTTATTAATCACACCAGTCATATAATAAACAGGAGCAAAAAAAAAAGTTTTACATTGTTTTTCGACGTCCTTAGGGAAGGAAAATATTTCTCAAGCGTCTTGTTAGCTCAATAAAGTAACTTCGCCCCAAAGAAAATTTTCGCCTACACTTTCATAATCTTGGTTTCGTTTCCTTCTAGCAGGATGACGATGTGCGTATAACAGCATTCTAAAACTATGAGTTAG